TATGGGGGGGGTGTGTGGGGCTGAACCCGAGCTATGGGGCCATGGGCGTGTGTGCTGGGCCATGGGTTCTCCGTGGGGCTGTCCCCCAGCGATGTGGTCGTGGGGTATACCTAGGGCTCTGGGGTGTGCATGGGGCAAGGTGGGTGTTGGGTGGGTGTGGGGTGTATGGGCACCATCGCCCAGCGATGGGGCCATGGGGTGTATCGGATGTGTGTGGGCTGGGGGGGGAGGGGCACGGCGTCCGTCCCACTGTGCAGCCACAGGGGCCAGGGGCCAAGCGGTGCCAGCAGCCACCTTGGCTCACAGCTGAGAGACTTTGCGGGGAGCACAGGGGGAGATGGTTTTTACCCTCCTGCCTTCAAAACAAATCCCTGCCCCTGCTCCATGCTGCGGGGCAGGGGCTCCTGGTGCCCTCCACAGGGGTCAGGGCTGCCCCACAGTGACATCCTCCCACACCGCCCCACTGGCAGCCATCCCGGAGGCTTTAACTCCGGGGTTTTCAGCCTTGACCTCACCCCTTTCCTTTCTAGAGTCTAACAGCCCCGCCGATGGTGTCGCCGGGTTGGGCCGCTGTTCAAATGAACCCACTGCCCCTCCCTGGGGCTGCCTGAATGAAGCCTCTGCGCTGCGTCTTCCACCCCCAACCGGCCATTTCGCAGCCCCTCAAGCCCACCCCACGGCGGAGGCCGGGGCCGGGTGTTTGCGCAGGGACGCGCTGTTCCAGCCTGGTGCCAAGTATGTGCCGGTGTTTGTTTGTGCTTTAAAGCTTGGAACTGCTGGGGAAATATGTGCCGGGCGCTGCCCCAAGCTGCCAGAGCAAGCCGAGCTCGCCTCTTGTTATTGCTCCCAGTGCCAAGAATTCGCTTCCTGACAAGGACGCGTTCCTTGGGGCCACGGGAAGGATTTTGAGGGGGCTGGGTTTCGTCTTGCCGGACCCCAGTGCGACCCGGTTGCGCTCTTGCCCTGGTTTGTGGGGGTGGCAGCTGGGAAAGGAGCCGGCAAGGGGGTGAAGGGGCACCCGGGGTGGGTGCACATCCCCGTTTCTTGCAAGATCTGGGGCAAGAGCACTTTGGGGCACTTGGGATGGGGCTGTGCCCTGTGCTCACCGCAGCTTCCTCCTTCGCTGTTCCGGCCGGTCCACGGCGATGCTCGGG